TAGGACTTTAGCAGTCTGCAAAAAAACAAAAACAAAACTTCATGTGATAAAAAAAAATCCAGTTATTTCCCCCTCCTCTGCCTTCTTCATTCATAGAAAACACAAAGTGGAAAGGGTAGAATAGATGAATAGTAAGTTAGGAGAAGGTCTGAGATGATCTTATGAGGCAAAAGCAAGGTAAGAATGCAATGCCCATGGATATTTCTGATAAGAGAGTTTGAGCAATCATGGCAATACTTAGGAAAGGATTCATTTTACAAAAGAAATTCTAGGGGAGACAAGACTCAGAAGAGGCATGATTGCTATCTTCAAGTCCTTAAAATGTTGTCAAGTAGGAGAGGGATTAGATTTGTTCTGCATCATCCCAGAGAGCCAGGAATTAGAAGCAGTAAGTGGAAGTTGCCAAAAAGCTGCCTAATGGAGCTATCCAAGAGTGGAACTGCTCCCCTTAGAAGATAGTTGGTTCCTACTCATTGGAAGTCTTCCAGTGAAGGCTAGACAGTCTCTTGATGGATGTGTTATGGCAGAAATTCTATCAGGCACAGATTGGACTAGATGACCCTGAGGTTTTTTTCAACTCTAAAATTATTCTGTGATTCACAAAAGGATTTATTTAGTGAGCTCCTTTATTCAAATAGATTAGTGATCTAATCAAGTCTAACTTCCTTCCAATCATACAGATCATAACTCAACCATACGTCCCCAGCCTGTGTGATTCTTGACCATGTACACTGGAAAGTTCGCTAGAGGGGTCAGCCCAACATATTAGAAGCCTTTATCCTGATGTGAGTATACCAGCGGGGTACTTTGGCTGGTCACCTGTCATCCTTCACTCTCCGATGTGACCACTCTATCTTCTCTTCCTATCATACATTTCATTGATAACATCTTTTACTACTGTTCTTAGGAGTTCCTCATTGGTTATATTTTAATAGTAAAAGTTATGCAACCAACTCATAACCACCATGTGCCTTTCAGTTGTCCCTTGTGATATTCCTTTTTAAGCTTAGGAAATGATGAGCTTAAGCTTAAAATATGGTATTTATTGGTACTTAAAATTTGATGTATCTACAACTTTTTAAGAATGTATCTATTTCATATTATATGATGATCAACTGTGAATGACAGCTATTCTAAGCAATACAACGATCCAAGACAATTCCAAAGGACTCATGAGGAAAAATGCTATCTGCCTCCAGAGAAAGAACTGATGGAGTATGAATGCAGACCAAAACTATTTTTCACTTTTTGTTTTTTTTTTTTTTTACTATTTTTTACTTTCCTTTTCATGTTTTTTTTCCTTTCAGTCTCTTTTTCATATTTTTTCTTTCAGTCTCTCTCTTTGTTCACAACATGACTAATATGGAAATGTCTTACATAATTGCACATACATAACCCATATCAAATTTTTACTGTTTTAGGGAGGGGGGAGGTAAGAAAGAGAGGGAGGGAAGAATATTTAGAAGTCAGAATTTTTAAAGAATAAATCTCAAAAATTCTCTTTACATGTAATTGAGGCAAAACCATTTTAAAAAAGAATGTATTTATTGCAGATGTAACACCATGCTATAGATTAACTCATTCTTGCACCCCAGAGGCTTCTAGGAGTAACCCTGTGAGTCTACTTCTAAGCACTATAACTTATGAGCCTCCACCTATGTGCTTCCCATTAACTAGCAGTCAGTAGATCAAATTAGCTTTTTAATTTTTTTTATTCTGAACTTAAACACCATAAAAAGAATATTTCTATATAAATGGCCAAATAAAAAAGAGAATTATATATACAACCGTGAGGCTCCATTTCACACTATTCACTTTTTAAAAATTAATTCCACATATTACTTTCAATACTGCTCTGAGTGTCTGTTTTCTTCTGAGTATCCTACTGTTCATTTCTGTGTATTTAAAAATAAATTTTAACAGCCTTTTTGACACAAGTTTTTGCTAATTTTAGCAAGTTATCCTTCTCTCCCCTGTAATCTCTCCCCTCTCCCAATTAAAAATAAAGAAAATCTTTTGTATCAAATAAGCATAGTCAAGCAAAACACATACACGATTTGTCCAGGTCCAAAAATCTATGCTTCTTTTGGCACCTTGAGTCCAACACTCCTCTGTCAGAAGATTCATCCCATGCCTTCAACAGACACTGCTGATCACTGCATCGATGTAAGTCCTTAAGTCTATTTGACCATTTTTATTGCAGCCTATTTTCTATAACAATTATTATTTTGCTTTTCTTTTAATCCCCCCTTCAAGATTAGGAAATTTTGATTGCTTCTACTTCCTCTCCAATATTATCTTTATTCTTAACTCCCCCCACCCCCCTTCCCACGTTTCCCGTCGAGTTCTTGCATTTACGTAAATGTGCGTGTGTTCAGCTCCCATTTGTCTGGCTGAGATTAGAGTGAGATTTATCTGATATCTGCCACCCTTCCTGCCATGGTTGTATACTCTTCTTCTCATGTACCTCAATTATTTGAAAGAGCTAGTTCCATTCCCTTTGTCCTCCTTTCTACACTAATGCATTCCTTCCACCTTCCCTTTTCTTTATTCCCTTAAAAATCTTCATAACAGAATCAGTCGGCCCTCTGTTTTTCTTATTTAACTCCCTTTGAAGACATTAAGTTTCTGAGGAGGCACTTGTTTTTTCTTCTCCATTAAAATGTTTGAATGACATCATCATCAGGTTTCTTCTAATTACTCAAATAAATGTACCTTTCTAGAATTCTCTAAACTCTTGCATTTATATTTTCAAGTTCTTACTTAGTACCAATCTTTTCAGCAGAAATGCTTGAAAGTCTTCTGTTCCATTAATGGTATGTTTCCCCCACATGCCCTACCTCAAACTCCCCCAGCACCAGAATGATACTCAGCTCTGAAAGGTAAGTGATTAGTGGTTGTAAACCCTAAAAACTCTTCTCTGAATTACAGCAGAAGCTTTCAGGCCAACCATGATCCTGATTGTAGTTTCTTGGTACTTGAATGCCTTTCTGGATGCCTACAATTTTTTTTGAAATGAAACTCTAGATTTTGGCCATAGCGTTCCTGGGATTTTTCCTTTTGAGGTTCCTTTCTAGAAATAATCAGTGGATTCTTCTGGTCTTTATTTTACCCTCTAGCTCTAACAGATCTGTGCAGTTTTCACTTATGAAATGACATGGCCAAAGGTGAAGAGGAGAAAAAAATCCCCTCGTCCATCATTGCTTTCTAGTATAGGTACATGGGTCTCCTACACTTTCTTTTCCTACTTTTCCTTTCACTCTATACAACTGCTGCACGGCTTCTTTTTCTTTCTTTTCTTAAATTGGACCAAGGGTCACGATTGCTTCTTTCAACCAATCACTAGAATACCTTGTGTGATATCAGTTGCCCAGCTGCCTTCACTGAGAGCCAGGCTCTATAAACTTCTCAAGTGAAGAAACGTCTCACCTTTTTGTAGGATTATATAAAAACGCCTTAGCATTTTGTGAGATATTCTGGGCTTTCTGTGACTATATCAACTGAGGGGAAGGGGAGACACTCTCCCTCTTGCACAGCTACAGCTTTGTCATTTTTACATGAGGCAATATGAGTAACAAAAATATAACCTTGGAGTAAAAGGAAACTGGGAATAATCTAGAAAGACTGATATGAGAAAATAGTCAATTTTAGCTGTGGCCTTCTGGGAAAATAAAAAAGATTGACATATTGGATTTGCATGCAGTCAATGAAAAGGAAGTGATTTTTTTTCTGTCAGATTTTCCAAGCATATTATAATGAAAAAAGGAACTGCAATCAGAAAGTCATCTTTTCCAAATAAGCAATGCAGAAAAGATTTCTTCTTGTGTACTACTTGTGTACCAGGCATACTCACATATAAATGTGACAGGCACTGATGATGTCATTATTTTGGCCATTTATATAAATGCTTTCACACTACAAGTGATTTCATATACATTATCTCATTTCATATTCCTAACAAGCTTGGAGGACAATTATTAACTTCATTTCACAGATGAGGAAATGGAGATATCAGAGATGTTTCTACTCAGCTTTTTTGATTCTGTTGCCAATATTATTCCCACTACCATGCATGGTTTTTGGATATGAAGAGAAATCCTATTGAGAAGAGTTCCTATATAATACTTCCATGGAAGAGAAGCAGAATAGCACATAACATAAGCTTATGTCTTCTCTAATCAAGAGAAACATGCCATTATTTGGCAGCTGGAGGTTAGCATGCCCATACTGATTCAAGAAGTCACCTCCCATAAAGGCCAATGGCTCCAGCTTTGGAAGCTCTGTTTCACGCTTAATGAATTCTCCCTGTCTTGACTGGTATATTGAAACAACTTTCCTCCATGGTTGCTTCTGATCTGTGCAGGGAGCTGCCTCCGTTACTCTATTTTCCTAGCCAGGCATCTCAGTGCCCTTCCCTGTGGAGGCCAAAGAGCTTAAAGACAGTGTTAAACAGCTGTGATTTCCTCCGATGACAGTTGAACCTCAGGGTTACTTGCCAATGTGGGTTCCCCTCCATACTAGTTTCTCTTTTCCTGTTCTAGTCTCTAGCCTCTGGTTGATCTCTCCTGGATCCCAGGCCATTGGTAGAGGCCACTGAAGAGCTCAAATCTTTTACTGGCACAAAAAGCTATTCTACCTTGGGATCAAATTGCTATGTTCCCCACCCTTTACATTTCTAACCCTAGGAGACTAGAATCCAGGTTTACAATTAGAAAAATTTTAAACATACAGAAAAGTTACCTCCCTACCAATTAACTATAGAATAATGGCTCTACATAAATATAAATTGAAGACTATGTTCCCACTCTAATCACTAGCTTTTTAATCTGCTGACCATTTGCTTTCATACGTTATTAAAATATTTCTGTGATTTATATGAAAAACTCGGTAGAAAAATATTAATAAAATTTAAATAATTTCTGATGTGTTACAATAGAATCAGTAGTACAGAGACAAAATATATGTTATTCTTAAAAGAATATTATTCAAAGTAGGCAGAAATATAATAGAAATCATTTTGCTATAGATTAAGCTACAATATAATTTTAACTTATTATGATGCATTTTCTGAACTGTAGGAAACAGATCATGCAAATCATAATCAATGAAAGTACTTTCCGAAGGTTTAAATCAAAGGTGGTACTTCAAGGTTATCTTCAAAGTCTGGGTCTTCAGCACACGGTACCATCTGAGGTTTAGCTTGGATTCTTCCTGAAGTGGTTTTTTTCTCTTGGACTATATTAGTCACATCAGGGAATGAATACTTGCTGGGATCTACTTCTAGTTTCTCAATTTGTTTGCTTCTATAATAACAACAACAAAAACAAAGAGAAAGATGATTATGGAATCAGTTTTCAAAATTATAAGTATATATAAGCTATATATGTTAAGATAACATAATTTAAACAAAAGTGTCAAATATACTCAATCCAATTTAATAATCATGCATTAAATACCCAATTTACAGAAATCACTGTTCTAAGTTCTGAGGAAGATATCAATTTTAAATAAGAAAGACATAGTTTCTTGCTATCAAAATAATACATTTATATAGTGTTAAGATTTACATAGTATTGTTATCTAAACAATCCCAGGAAATAAATAGTGCAAATATTGTAATCCCTATTTTACAGGTGAGGAAACTGAGGTGAGGTTGTTTGTCCAATATTGCAAAGCTAGAACCAAAATCTCAGAAACTAGTTTTTCAACTCTAAGACCAGTAGAGCATATAACCTCATTAGGTCCCAGACTATTAAGGGGAGACAGCTCAACAAATTCACTTATGAATTGCTTCAAGAACATGACACAGGCACCATAACCACATATGTAGTCAATAAAAAGTGACAGTGGGAAGAATACCATCTCTGTCATTTACTAGCATATGAACCTGGGCAAGACATGGCATCTCCCTGAGCCAGTGTCCTCATCTGTGAAGTGATAATGCTATCTCTATCACGTCTACCCTCAAGGGTTATTGTGGGGATTACTCTAAGTGATTTGATATATGTAAATGTGTTTTATAACTGTGAGTTTAATATAATTATGTGCTTTTACTTGAGAATGACTCTGTGATCTCACTGATGGGCCCTCCAGTAATACAGACCACAGCCCAACCAAACCCTCCCAATCTGTGAGTCTTATCTGTTGTCAACCATAGATTCTCTAAAGAGAATGTACCCAAGATGCCAGAGGTCTTCTAAGTCTTTTTTTTTAAGATAAGCTATTTTATTTGTTTAGTTTTCTTTAGATTTCTCCAATTACATGTAAAAAACAATTTTTTAACATTTGTTTTTGAAAATTTTGAATTAGAAATTTTCTCCCTTTCTCCTTCCTCTTCCTCCTCCCTGTGATGGCAAGCAATTTGATATAGATTACACACATTTTATTGCTGTTCTTGAGTCATTTCAGTAATGTCCAATTCTCTGTGACCCATTTGGGGTTTTCTTGGCAAAGATACTGGAGTGGTTTGCCATTTCCTTCTTCAGCTCATTTTACAGATGAGGACACTGAGGCAAACAGAGTTAAGTGACTTGCCCAGGGTCACAAAGCCAGTAAGTGTCTGAGGCCAGATCTGAACTCAGGTGCTCTTGACCCTATGTCCAGCATTCCAGCCACAGTGCCTCCTAGCTGCCCCAAATTATACATGTATAGCCATGCAAAACATCTTTCCATATTAGTCAAATTGTGGGGGAAAAAACACAGACAAAAATACACAAAAAATAAAGTAGAAAACAATACGCTTCAATCTACATTCAGATTACATCTATTATTTCTCTGGAGGCAGATAGCATTTTTCATCATGAGTCTTTCAGAATTGTTTTGTATAATTGTATTGCTGAGAATAGCAAAGTCATTCACAGCTGATCATCTTACACTATTGCTGTTGCTATGTACACTGTTCTCCTGGTTCTGATCACTTCACTTTGCATCAGTTCACGTAAGTCTTCCAGGTTTTTCTAAAAGCATCCTGCTCATCATTTCTTATAGCACAAAGGCATTCCAGAACAATCATGTAACCCAACTTGTTCAGCCATTCCCCAACTGATGGGCATCCTCTCAATTCTTTGCCACCAAAAAAAAGAGTTGTTATAAATATTTTTATACATATAGGTCCTTTTTCCTTTTTTAATGTCTTTGGGATACAAGCCTAGTAATGGTATTTGTCAAAGAGTACACACAGTTTTACAGCCCTTTGGAAATAATTCAAAATTGCCCTCTAGAAGGGTTGGATAAGTTCACAACTCCACAGTGCATTAGTGACCCAATATTCCCACATCCCCTCCAGTATTTGTCATTTTCCTTTTCTGTCATATTAGCCAGTCATATCTACATGAGGTGGTACCTCATAGTTGTTTTAATTCGCATTTCTCTAATCAATAGTGATTGAGAGCATTTTTTCATATGCTATAGATAGCCTTGATTTCATCATCTGAAAACTGCCTGTTCATATCCTTTGACCATTTATTAATTGGGGGATGACATGTATTCTTATAAATTTGATTCATTTCTGTATATATTTGAAAAAATGAGGTCTTTATCAGAGAAACTTGCTGTAAATTTTTTTCAGTTATGATTACTGTGTATTTCCTTCCATTCTGCACTCCCCCCATTTATTCCTCTCTCTCTTTCTCTCCCTCCCTCCCTCCCTCCCTCTCTCCTCTCTTTCACCCTGTCCCTTCTCAAAATTGTTTTGCTTCTGACCACCACCTCCTCCAATCCACCCTTCCCTTCCATCAGCACCCACCTCTTAAATCTTTCCCCTAGGGTAAGATAGATTTTTAAACTCAACTATGTGTGTATGTTTTTCCTGCTTTGAGCCATTTACTATGAGACTAAGGTTCAAGCATTGCCCAACCCCTTTCCATATTCCCCTCCATTATAAAAGCTCTTTTCAAACTCTTTTATGTGAGATAATTTACTCCATTCTACCTCTTCCTTTCCCCTTCTCTTAGCACATCTCTCTTTCTGACCCTTTAATTTTATGTTTTTAGGTATCATCCCATCATAGTCAATTCACATCCATGTCCTCTGTCTATGTATACTTCTTGTAACTGCCCTAATAATAATAAAGTTCTTAGGAGTTACTAACATCATTTTCCCATGGAGGGATATAAACAGTTTAACCTTAGTGAATCCCTTATGATTTCTCTTTTCTGTTTATCTTTTCATGCTTCTCTTGAGTCTTACATTTGAAAGTCAAATTTTCTATTCAGCTCTGGCCTTTTTATCAGGAATGCTTGAAAGTAGTCAATTTCATTAAATATCCACTTTTCCCCTGAAGGATTACACTCAGTTTTTCTGGGTAGGTGATTCTTGATTGTAATCCTAATTCCTTTGCCCTCTGGAATATCATATCCCAAGCTCTCCAATTCTTTAATGTAGAAGCTGCTAAATCTTGTGTTACTGTGGCTCCACAGTATTTGAATTGCTTCTTTCTGGCTAATTGCAATAGTTTCTCCTTGACATGAGGGCTCTGGAATTTGTCTATAAAATTCTAGGGAGTTTTCATTTTGGGATCTCTTTCAGGAAGTGATTGGTAGATTCTTTCAATTTCTATTTTGTCCTTTAGATCTAAGATATCATGGCAGTTTTCTTTGATAATTTCCTGAAATATGATGTCTAGGCTCTTTTTTTGGATCATGGCTTTCAGGTAATTCAATCATTCTTACATTATCTCTCCTCAATCTATTTTCCAGTTATTTTTATTTTGCATTTTCCCTATTTTTTCATTTTTAAAAATTTTATTTTATTGTTTCTCAATGTCTCATGGAGTCATTAGTTTTCACTTGCCAAATTCTAATTTTTAAAAAATTATTTAGTGAGCTTTTGTACTTCCTTTTCCATTTAGCCAATTCTACTTTTTAAGGAATTCTTCTCTTCAGTGAATTTTTGTGCCTCTTTTACCATTTGCCTATTCTGTTTTTTAAGGTGTTATTTTTGTCAGGATTTTTTGTGCCTCCATTACCAAGTTGTTGATTTTTTTCACGATTTTCTTGCAGCACTCTTATTTATTTTCCTATTTTTTCCTCTACCTCTCTTATTTGATTTTTAAAATCCTTTTTGAGTTTTTCCAGGAATTGTTTTTGGGCATGAGATCAATTAATATTTTCCTTTGAGGCTTTTCTTTGTAGCTGTTCTGACTTTGTTGTCTTCTTCTGAGTTTGTGTTTTGACCTTCCTAGTCACTATAATAATTTTCTATAGTAAGGTTCTCATTTTGGTGTTTGCTCATTTTCCTGGCCTATTTCTTGACTTTTAACTTTATTTTAAAGTTGGGCTTTGTTCCTTGGGTGGAGGGGGCACTGTCCCAAATTTCTTGCTGCTGCTCTCAGAGCTAGTTCTGGGGGGTCTGTAAGTTTTCAGTTCTTTCAAGGTGGTATGGTCTAAGGAGAGGTGTGGTCATTGCTCTCTTGGTCTCTGGTCTGGTCCATGAGCAACCACAAGCATTCTTTTATGTCCTGGAACTGTGACTAGGGTCCCTGTTCCCCTGCGGTCATACAATGCAGTGCACTAGTGCTCCTTCTCACCCTGGGACTATGACCAGGAACCATGTATGGGTAACCATGTAACAGAGTCCTGCAACCAGTGCCAGCAAAAGGTCCCTTGTAATCTCCTTCTGACCAATCGTCTGACCCCCTTACCATCTGTAAGCTGAGAATTTCAGAAGCCGCTGCTGTCAATTCAGTCACCCACAAGGCCTACTGCTCCCCTTCTCATGTTTTCAACAGGGACATCTCATTTCCTTCCTTCTCCTTTGGCAGTCTGCCTTGGTAATTATCTTCCCCTCTAATTTTCAAACTCTCAATATCTACTGGTTCTTTTCCCAGATGCTACAATTATTCTCAGATATCTCCTTTAAAAAGTGTCAGTTATTGCCTCATACTTTAAAAAATGTTTAATTTATCTTATTATCACCTCAAGCTACCATCCTATATCTCTCCTCCCTTTCACAACCAGACTCCTAAAAATGTCACCTACATTCCTCACCTCCATTTCTTCTCTTCTCCCTCATTTCGCAATCGTTTTGCAATTGACTTCCAACTTCATCTCTCCATAGAAATGTCTCTCTCCAAGGTTACCAACAATCTCTGACCTGCCAAATGTAGTGGCTTCTTTTTAATGTGAACCTTTATTGAATCCTCCATAGAATTTGACACTTTTGATCATCCTCTTCTTCCGGGATACTTTTTCTTTTTTTTAGTTTTCATGATCCTTCTCTCCTGAGTCTTGTCCTACATGACAAATCATTGCTTTTTAGTCTCCTTTGGTGGATCATACTCCATCTTCCATCCCGTTTGTGTGCTCCCACCTCTAGGGCTCTATGCTTTTCTCTTTAAACTCCATCTTTTGGAGTTTAAATAAAATTATTAAATATTATTAAATATTTACAATAAAAAGTTACCATGGATTCAACTATCATCTCTAGGCAAATGACTCCCAAATCAATCTATATATCTATCTATACATCTATAGCTCTAGCTCTAGTCTGTCTCCTGAATGATCAGTTTTGTATTTCAAACTATAGTTATCTTAAATTCAAAATGTCCAAAACAGAATTCATTTGTTATCTTCCTCCCACTTCCCCCTACTCTCTTCCAAAATGCCAGCACTATTTTGTTTTGTTTTGGTTTTGGTTTTTTGGTGAGGCAATAGGGGTTAAGTGACTTGCCCAGGGTCACACAGCTAGTAAGTGTCAAAGTGACAAGTGTCTGAGGTCAGATTTGAACTCAGGTCCTCTTCCAAGGTGGAGTTCTACTCACTGTGCCACCTAGCTGCCCCTATAATTCTCATTTCTTTTCTTTTCTTTTTCTTTTTTCTTTTTTCTTTTTTTGGCATGAGGCAATCAGGGTTAAGTGACTTGTCCAGGGTTACACAGCTAGTAAGTGTCAAGTGTTTGAGGCTGGATTTGAACTCAAGTCTTCCTGACTCCAGGTCTGGTGCTCTATCCACTGTGCCACCTAGCTGCCCCCAAAATCCCCTATTTTGACTGATAGAACTACCATCCTTCTAGCAAACCACTTTCACAACCTTAGACTCATCTACGTATTTTTCTTCTTTTCCCCTACCCCCAACTAATCAGTTACTTCTCTTTTCTTGACAAGGCATAGTGGAACGAATGTTAGTTTTAGAATCAGAGGACCTTGGTCTGAATCTTGGCTCTACTATCATACTACCATCTAGAAGGTACAAGGACTGGACAGTGACTTCACTGTGTAGGGAAGTTGTGGGTAAGGAATGTGCCTCTATCAATGTGGGCCAACATTTTCTCTGCAACTTAGAAAGTTAACTATAGCTCAGAGAGGTTAGAATTCTTGCCTAGGAACACAGAGCAAGATGTGAGGTACTCTTCATTTTGAGGCAATAAGTGACAGTAAGCACTTTAAGATTTACAAAGTGTTTTATGGACGTTATCCCATTTGATTCTCACAATAATCCTGAAAGGTAAACACTAAACTATTATTAGCTCCATGTTACAGGTGTGGAAACTGAAGCTCAGAAAAGTGAGATGACAGGACCAGAGCGTCTGACTCAAGAGGCAGCATGGTTTCTAAGACACTGATATCTGAAGCGTCATTTTGGGTTAGGGGATCAGAGAGAATAGCTGTCACTTCTTCTTAATTTAGTCCCCACATGATCCTGTCCACAGACTTCATTATCCACCACCTGTGTCTGGGACCCTCTTCTCCCTTGGCCTGTCAATCCTTTAACCAGCCCAAATTTCTCACTGGCAGACATCCATTCCTACAGTGTGCATATCATGTTGTCCAGGAAGAGGCAATGATAATAACAATAAAATATCTCCTTGATATGACAAATCAATGATAAAGCACCACATATAGCCTAGGCAAAGACACCTTGTATGTGGTGAAAAGTGATTACTGCACTATTGAGTAATCAAGCTGATAGAGAACACAAGGCAACAGTATGGTTAAGGAGGTCATGCAGAGCTTCAAGAATCTTACTGAGAGTTCTGTAAGCCATAAGTGTAATCATTGCAGTAAATGGAGACCCTGTTATCAGAAAGCCAGGCTCCTAATGGTTTCGATTACCTAATCTGTTACTTTTAAGACTCAAGGTTGACACCCCTTCTGAATATTGCTACTTCTCCCTGTAGTTAATCCTTTGCAGTGATATTCAGCTATGATGAACTGGTTTTCTTGTAATTTACACATGGAGTTGGAATTTAAATTGCTATGTTGAAAAAAAAGAAAAGAATAGCCCTGCTTAACTGAGTGGGGGGTAGGGAGATTACATTTCTCTAAGAACAAAGACCACACCTGTAGTTCAAACAAACCTCCTCTTTGGAAGCCTTTGCACAGACTCAGTTGCCTTTAATCAGAGATATGCCCAACTCCTTGAATATGCTATATTAGAGACATAAATATAGCTTACTCTTTTCTGTGGCTACAATATTGGCATACACATTTTAAAGGTATGTGCTGATGGTAGGAAATCTGTGGACTTTAAGCAGGTATATGTACTCTTGTTCTGGGGCTGCTGCAACCAGTACCTTTACAAACCAACACAACTGTCAAGTCTCAGGCTTCTCAGACAAACTTTACTATTTACAGCAATATCATTTGTTATTTTTCTTTCATAATTACAGGATGGTTGAACAGTAACATCCTCACTTCAAATTGAAATGGAAAGAAGTAAACTAAGGTTTTAAATAAGAAATGTTACCCTTTCTTTTCTTGAAATTTGTTTCCTTCCGGGTTTTTCACAGGCTTACATGCTTTTCTGTTAGCCACAATTACTTCTCCTACCTGAAACAAGGAAACAATAACAGTAAGTGCCATGTTATTTCTGATCTAGCTTCCAAAATTACACATGATGTGTTTGTGTGTGTGTGTGTGTGTGCATTTAAAGATTATTAAACATTAACAAATTTTCAGCTAATGGGACACAAAAGAATCCTATTTTAAACTTTGGTATGTTTAAACAAAACAAGTAAAACAAAAGCTTTTTTTTTTCAATAAAGTAAAGCAAAACTGAATAGCTTCTGTGAGACTTGAGCTCAAGACCCTTAATTATGAGATAGATGACCTGTCTCTGCACAGAAAAATGGCATAAAAACATCACCCTGACAATGTGTGATAGAAAAAAGACTTTGGTTTGTCATGTAGAAAGAAAAGTAAATAACAGAGGTGGTCTGACCAGGGCAGAGCATGTACGGTTGGACTACCACCTCTAGACCATCAATTAACACCTTTCTGGAGATAAATTCAAAATCTACATATCCAACCCAAATATCTTTCCCAAGCATCATTCTCACATTTGCAGCTACCTTTTGTCATTTCCACTTGGATGTTTAAATGGCAACTCAAACCTAACATGTTCCAATTCATCAGTTCCCCCCCCCCACCAAACCTACTTCTTCTAATTTACCTATTTTTATTGATGCCATCAAAATCCTCCTAGTCAAAAAGGCTGCATTCCAAGTAATCTTTGTTTCATCCAATCACCTGCTAAATTCTGCCTACTCTGTTTTCAGAATCTCTCAAGTCCATATGTTCTTCTCTACCCATAATGCTAAAACTCTAGCTCAAGTCGTCTTCATTTCCTGTTTGGACTATGGTAATGACCTACAACAGCAGACTAGCTGGTCTCTCTGACTTCCACCCCTTACCACATTAATCCTTCACAAAGATGTCAAGATAATCTTCCTAAAGGATAGTACTCACTGGGATACTGCTATGCTCAAAGACCATTAGTATCTATAGGATGAAACAGAAACTTCTTAGCCTGGCACTGAAGGCTTTTCACCATCCTGCTCCAACCTACTTTTCTGACCTTATTCACAGTAATCTCTTTTATTCACTCTATATTGTAGCCACACTGGACTATCAGTTCTTTGATTTCATCTCACACTTTCTTACTTCTATATATCTGGGCAGATTTTCTTAGCCCTCACATCTGGAATTTACAATTGCCTCATTTCTTCCTGCTTAAATCCTTCTCCTTCCAATGCCCAAATGAAGTACCATCTATTGTTTATTGAAAACTATAGATAGTTAAGTAGATAAGAAGAAATTGAAGATGAGAAGGAAGCGAATATTGAGATTGCCACTGGAGAAAGTAGGAGGGGAAAGGATCAAGGATTCACCTAAAGGCTTTGGCAATGAGAGGGCACTCTATCATCAGAAGCTGAAGGACAAGAGGAAAGATTGGAAGACGACGTTTAGAGGTTTTGAGATGAAGATGAGGGTAGAATAGAGAGCTTACATCAAATGAACTCAACTTTTTTCAGCAAAGTAAGAGGCAATGCCATTGGCTTGCAGAGGAGAAAGTACAAGAGATTTAGAATAGTTTTTAAAGGCAGTGAGGCAGGGAATAAATTAAGCAGAAATGTCAGGGAATATCTGAGTAGGAAGCTGAGAGTGTTTCCCTACAGAGGAAGTCCAAATCACAACATAAAACCATATATCTGGATATTTGTGTGGTCTCAGGGGGTAAGGAAGAATTCAACAAAATTTCTGGGGGATTGCTCTGGTAAGCAACTCCATGTCAGTTTCAATTACTGAGGAGTCTAAATCACAGTACTATACTATGGACATAGAGGATTTTATGACTCTGAAAGGTAGAACTTACTGGAAAAAGAGAATGTTATCAGTTATTATCATGCCATTGTAAGTTATTGGAGTATTTCTGTACATCATGTGAGACAGAATAAAGGCTGTTCTGTGCCCTCCACAGGTGTCATTACTGAGGGAGCTTGTATGGGATCCAGATACCCCAGAATCTTTCCCCATGGAGAGGCTGCAGAGAATGCACAGATGTTCTGTAACTCGCTCAGGCCAGCTAACTTTGTTGGGAAGAGGAGGCTCTTAGGTGAGCTGCAGAGGCATCTGTCATAAGCACGCCTGTCAGTATCAGCCACCTCCACATTTGTGTCAGTCGCTCTTTCACGAAAAAAGTCAGGAAAGAATTCACGTGGTAAGAGACCTTCAGGATGCCTCCCTTCTGAGGCCGCATGGTCCCCCAAAAGAGGCCTTGATTTTTGGCTTTTTCATTTGTTCTTTTCCATTCCAGGTGAGACTGAAGTATCTGGAAGGTGCTTCAGTACTCCAGCATTCCAGGCTGGCTTCTACAGCCAGCCCCAAACTGATGTCTCAAGCAGCCACGAGTGACATTCTGGATCTATGCCAGTGAAGGCTGAAGTGACCTATCTGGCAGACAGATCATCTTTGGATATGAACTTGATGGGACCAGTATTAGGTACGAACTAGTTCATACCTAACAGGAACTCAACTTAGTTGAGCCTACTGTGCCCCTCGCCAGATTGAGGTGACATAAGGGAGAGTATGCTCCCAAAATATTGGGGGAAATGCTTCTAAGTTTATTCTTGTTATGTCTTTGAAATAAATACAGTTTTGTAAAAACCTATCAATGTTAAGTGCTTAAATGGAACTGGAATAAGAATTACTGGCCTCTAATAATTGGTGGAACACAGTCAGCGGCACTCAAGGTAATAGCAATAGAGGGGAGAAACAGAAAAATAGCAAAGGGTTACCCCTTGGAATTTTGAGGGGAGTTATAGCCTGGCTGGCTCTGAAAGAGGGCCAGAACATACACACTACACATACATTTAGAGGCCTACACACAAGCCATACTCAGGCTAAAGTCTGATATTTTCTAGATCAAACTAGGAGTGGGGGCAAAAGGAGCCAAAAGGAGAGAGATGATAAGCAGGGGGAAGGTGAACAATCCCAAAACTGGACCTAGTGCACATGAGCCCAGCTCTTAGGTTGCTAGATTATGGTTTACATTCATATTACCACAAAATCACAGAATCACATAACTTAAGAGAAGGACCTCCGCAGCCATCTCCCCAATCCATGTACAAAAAAAAATCCCTACTAGAAATACCTGACAAATAGTCATCTAGCCACTCTTCTTGAAGCCCTCCAAAGAGGTAGCCCATTTCAGTTTGGGCCAGCTCTAATTGTTAGGAAGGGTTGTTCTGTTTTGTTTTGTTATGATTTTTCCCGACAGCAAGTCCAAATGTGAGTCTTTGCAAGCCTAAAGTTTGCCTCTTTGCACTACGTTACAGGCAACTGACTCACATCATTTGTCTCTCCATTGACCTTAAGGTAACCTTCAATATTGATTCTTTAGGGATTATGGGTTTATATGATTTGCAGCCACATAACATGCAGAATATTAATGTTATAAAGATTGTGTGTGTATTTCTTTCAGGGCAGGCAGACCTCTGAATTGTTGAGATTTACAAAAGAATGTCAGAGGGAGAAGGAGATTCAGAAGTCTTATAGTCCAAGCCCTATATGAAGCATAAATCCTACCAACTACATACCTGAAAAAGGGCCAACCAACCCTTCTTGAAGACCTTCACTGACAGTGACCACCTTTTGAGACAACCCATTCCACTTTCAAAAAGCTCTAATTTTAGGACGTTTTCCTTAAATCAAAATCTAATCTGCTTCACTAAAACTTCTACCCATTGCTGGTAGTTCTGTCCTAAGGGGTCAATCAAAAGAGGCCTAATCACTCTTCCTTATGATGACCTTTGACAAATTTAAAGACAGCTAAATACTCTCAAGCCATTTGTTTAACAATATATTTTAAAATTTGCTAGGAATTTAATTGAATTTGTTCATTCATCTGTATTTTAAAGACTAAATTTTTTTAAGAATAGTCTTTTTGAGGGAGGCAACTAGGTGGCACAGTGGATAGAGCACCAGCCCTGAAGTCAGGAGGACCTGAGTTCAAATCTGGTCTCAGACCAAACACTTGACACTTACTTGCTGTGTGACCCTGGGCAAGTCACTTAACCCCCAATTGCCTAAAAAAAAAAGAGAGAGAGAATAGTCTTTTTGAAAGTCTTTTTTTAGGGAGGGGGGAGCCAAGATGGCATAGAAAAAGCCAGGAAGTTCCCCGGGCTCTTCACAGTTTCCTTTGGAAAAAACATTAAATCAAGCTTCTAAATGGATTTGGAGCAACAGAAACTATAAAAAAGATGGAGTGACATTTCTATGGAGGGATGAAGTTGGAAGTCAATTGCAAAACTATTGAGAAATGAGGAAGAAGAGAAGAAATAGAGGTGAGGAACGTAGGTGACATTTTTAGGAGTCTGTGAAAGGGAGGAGAGATATAGGATGATAACTTGAGGTGATAATAAGACAAATTGAACATTTTTTAAAGTATGAGGCGATAACTGACACTTTTTTAAAGGAGCTATCTGAGAATAATTGTAGCATCTGGGAAAAGAACCAGTAGATATTGAGAGTTTGAAAATTAGAGGGGAAGATAAGCTAGAAGTTTTCCCAATAAGATCAGGAGTGAAACAAGGCTGTCTATTATCACCATTATTATTTAATATTGTACTAGAAATGTTAGCTTTAGCAATAAGAAAAGAAAAAAGAATTTGAAGGAATTAGAACAGGCAACAAGAGAATGAAACTATTACTCTTTGCAGATCATATGATGGCATACTTAAAGAATCCTATAGAATCAACTACAAAACTACTTGAAATAATTAACAACTTTAGCAAAGTTGCAGGATATAAAATAAACCCACATAAATCATTGGTATTTCTATATATTGCTAAAAACCCCAGCAATAAGGGATAGAAAGAGAAATTCCATTTAAAATAACTGTAGATAATATAAAATATTTGGGAATCTACCTGCTAAGACAAACCCAGGAACTATATGAACACAATTACAAAGCACTTTTCAAACAAATAAAGTCAGTGCTAAACAACTGTAAAACTATCAACTGCTCATTGGTGGGCTGAGCTAATAT